AGTTCCAGTGGGGCCTTTTTTTTTTTTTTTTTTTTAAGGTTTTTGGCATAGGGTACATGCACTAGCCAGAAAGAGATAGCAAGAGTGAAAGTGAGAAATCACTCCCAAGGATTTTGGTCATGCACGCACATGTGCCCAGTATGATTTTTCAAGCTGCCAGACCTGGGACTTGAATGCTTAACTGATGAAAGTGCAAGCACAGGTTTGGAAAAAAGAGGTTCCCAGCAAGCTCTGAGGGCCTTCGAAAATCTTTATCACCATGCCACCTGCCGGCCCTCCAGCTAGGCTATTCTGATAGGCCACAAGCAGATGCTTAACTGATGAAAGTGCAAGCACAGGTTTGGAAAAAAGAGGTTCCCAGCAAGCTCTGAGGGCCACAAAAAAGCTCCTGGAAAACGCGTAGGAGGAGAAAACCACACGGGCGCCTGGACCTTCTACCAGAATGAACTGGTCTTTTCGTGCCACTCTCCCGCTGCGAGTACACAGCAGTCCCCTTACCCACAGCTGTGTAGTCCATGAACGCTCACTGCATGGATGACTCTAGAACTGGGACGCGAGGTAAAATGCAAACCAAGGCTCTGCTTCCTCGCCCATTCAGGATTTACCCAATCCAGGGTGTTCACGCAAATTTCCAGATACAGCTCAAACTTGGAGTACCTCAATATTTTTCAACATGCCTGCTAGTAAAAACGTACATGCTCTTTATAAAAAAATAAGGCCAGCCAGCTTCCGGCGCATCACTCCAATACTGCCCTAAGCTGAATCTTTAGCAGATGAACTAATAGCGTTCTCACGGAGCCTCCAGAAACCCCGAGTGCCTGTGAAGAAGCTCTAGTTCACCAACAGCACAGTGGCAAACTGTCACTGCTGTGTGAAGAGGCATCCTGCCGCCTGGCTCTGCATGACAGTGGTCTGGAACAGCCCTCACCGCTACCCCTAGCTGGCCTCCTGACCCGCAGCCGGGCCCTAGCAATCCCTCTTCCCAAATCAGCCCAGGGCTCTCCCACTCGGGCTGCAGGCCTGTCGCCTCATTTCACAAAGTGGAATAGTTCTTGGAAACCATGGGGTTTCAAAGGAATGAAATTGAAACAAGCGGATTTGGGGTCTGCCTCATGCTGGAAGCACAAGTGCTGAGGACGCCCGTGCCACCCGTGGCCCGGTGCTGCGGGGAAGAGCACGCACGTCACTCTGCCGCCTCGTCTCTCCCGTGACACTTCATCAGGGAGGCTCTCTCTCTGCCCCTGGACCGGGTCCTTCCTGGGTGTCATATCCTCATATTTATTATTTACCCCTTCTCATCCCAAAGAGCCATGAATGCAATCCTTTCCTTTTGGAAGTCATAAAATCTGTTTCACTTGTGGGCACCTGGCAACCCCAAATTTGCAGCCCGCTATTTCAAGCTAAGTGCTAGCTTTCTCTCCCAGGGTCCTAAGCACACATGACAGTTGCCCTATGCAGGGGAATGGGTGTCCCCTCATGTCACTCCCTCGTGCCATCGGAGAGCAAAGTTCCCAGGGTAGGCAACAAATGCCATCCAGACTTTTCCCCAGCTATTTCTAGATGGTCCAGCCACGGAAGCTGTCGGTACCTTACCTACCTCCTCGTTTAACACTTAACGTCCCCCCTTCTGCAATCCCCCCTTCTGCAGGAAATGACTGTGTCACACCTTCTGGAACTTCCCATAGCAACAGCAACAGTAAAGTCGCCTCTGTGGAGGGAGTAAATGTCCAACTTGAGACACCTAGCTCAGGAAACCTGCAGGCACCCGCGCCGGCCCTTCTCACAGCTGGCTCACTGGTTGGATGGGACTTGGCGTCTCCTACCTCAGCCAGGGAGCAGTAGCATGGGTGGGAAAGGGCAGCTAACGTAGGGAGACGGCTGAGCCCCGGCCTGGGCAAGGGCTGAGGAAG